CCACGTCTTGGAGTGGGGTGCCATTAAAGGAAACCACATTACTATTTGCCTGATTTATTCTCATTATCTTTGTCTTTCGTTTATGGATTTTCAGACCAAGCTGCTGTGATCTCGCATCTAGTATATTTAATTTATCTTGCATCTGATTCCGTGAATGGGACAGAAGAGAAATTTCATCAGCGAAGAATATGTACCCGTAAATCCGCGGGGTCAGTGACCAGCCTATCTACACCTCAAAACGGTGCAAGTACAGGAGGTAAATGGCAGTTTGAGGCGTCAGTGGCTTAGGCCTTGCGAGTCCGAAAGGCACCATTCGTCTATGGCAGGGTTTCTCAAACTTATTTGATCCGTTCCCCGGGGGCGGTAGCGCCCACATTGGGAAACACAGGTTTATGGTCCGGCAAAACTGTAACGCCGCTCTTCAACAGACGATAAGTAACCCGCTATTTTGTTTAGCTAGTTGAAGTTGCTTCGTTACGAATGCAGAATTTAGACAAGAGTGAAAATTAATTCTTCTACTTCTTCTTCTTTGCGTTCATCAGCTGTAAACTTTGTTTATCCCTTTTTGGACTGCAGTCCTGTTCCAGAACCCGAGTGTTGCTTATGCATCCATTTTTCGGATCTGACTCATTTGTATGCAGACTGCTGGTTCCATGCCTTTCAAGCAGATGCACTCCGACTTAGAAGAAAGTTGTATTTTCTCTATAATAGGGCCCCGGAACCCACACAAATGCTCTTGAGACAGTCGAAGTGATGAGATAAGTTTATGATGATCAATGGGACTATGAAACAATGAAAGATGGGCGTGACGGTCCCACGCTTCAACCCCCAACCTGTAGGACTACAGTATTTCTTTTCTCTATCCACCTTCAACCTTCATGCTGGTCGACTACTGTACCTCACAGGAACAATTTTTGATAGTCTTCTGCTGTCTAGACCGCTTATCATCAATAAATAAGCAGTTACTTTACAGAAAGTCACTCTCTTCACGGCACACCTGCAAGTCTCTGTCTTTCTCTAGTCATTTCTTCAGCCCTGTGTTTCATAGCCAGTGAGTCTTTAGTGTCTTGTATCTACATCCGCGAAGGTCTGCCTCTGCCACGATTTCCGGAAACAAGTCTCCATGAGCGTTCTCCAGACCATCGTAACTTTTAACATGGCCAAAATACCTCAGGTGATAGATCAGTATTCAGACCCAGAAGATATCATCATCTATACAGATGGATCCGTGAATCGCGGATCAAGGTCAGCATGGGCATACACAGCACAAAGAAGGGCGAAAACAATACATGAGGACAGCGGCGCTTACCAGACAACCACGTCAAGCATGACAATGGAAATAGCCGCTGCTTCTAGAGCATTAGCATGGGTATCTGGTCAAACCGCCACACAGGCAGTAATTGTATCAGACTCCATGAATATGCTTCAGAAGATAGCAACAGGCGGTATGCGGTCTGAATGGGTAGAAAGCATTTGAAAATCGCACTTAATCTCCCTCACCCGGAGCTACACACCGGGTCATGCGGGCGTAAATGGAAATGAGCGAGCGGACTAACTGGCAAGCACTGCACTAAGGATTGTGGGACAAAGCAGGGACAGAGCAAATATCATCAACGCTGTACGGACTAGGCTAGTGGATATTTAAGAATCCCTGACATTAACACGATTGCGTGACACGGGAGTAAAGCATGGTGAAGCACCTCTATGTCGTCTTCGAGGCCGAGATAGGAGACAATATAACAGCTTCTCATAGGAACACTAAGTAGAAGTACTTTGGAGTGGCTACTGCATCGAGGACTGAGCACGCATGGGAATGCCTAATGTGCAATGTGATCCCATAACATAACCTCAGCTTTCAGGACAGAATGCTGTCTATGAGCCAATTTTCCTCAATGCTCAGATCATGAAGGATATCAGTGTTTGTTTTCGCTCAGCTGAAGTCATCTGTTGCTTTTAAAAACGTAAAAGTGCTGTATATTACTTCCCAGACATCTCGCCGATTATGAGCCATTTTCTTCAGCTTTCAGATTTTGCAATATGTCGGCGTGTTTTCCTCGATTTGATCCACGATATTCTAAGAATGTTTGTGCCAAATATGAGCGAAATAACCTCAATTTTCTTGTTAATTAAACCAATTATCTCTGTTATTTAAACATTTTTGTTCTTAATCATATAATCAAACTTTACCAGATCTCCCATGACCTTAATTTAGTTCATGACTTGTTTCTTTAAGAAGATGCGGAAGCAACGGGTGGAAATGCGGGCAAATGCCGTCCCATGGCAAATGCGACCCTGGAATGTGACGGGTCATAAAAACAGAGAACTGAAGTTTCAAAAATGTGTGATGGATTTCTACTTCTTTTTCTTCTTCTTCAGTGGCGTCCGTGGCTAAGGCGTTGCGAGTCCGACTCGTAAGCCAGCATACCGCGATCGAAACCCACTGCAGGCTGCGTGGATTTTTGTCGTGGTATGGGACGTCGCAGGTCGACCCAGCCTAAAA